TCACATGAGAGTCGATTAGGGTTTTTGAGAGATTGTATTTTCCATTCAATAAAGAAAGCGGCGGCCGATTTCTATTCATCTTCTTCTACAAATCTTTTTTTAAATTCTTTTACATCACTCTACTGTCAGATCTGGGTTTAACAATTGGTATCAGAGCCAAATCGATTAACTTCTATCGATTCGATCTTTCTACAGTAAATTCAATTTTCTTGAACAATACTCTTTCATGAACTGTTTCCTGTTCGACTGCAGTTTGGACCCAAAAATTCATCAATTCATCATATGATTAAATATTTTAATCAAATTCCTTTTAAGGGATTTGTTCTTGGATGAATACAAACCTATTTTGATCATAATTTTTTTTTTGGTTTATTTGATGGAGTTTCTTGGAGTCAGTCGAATTTTTGAACCTTGATTTTGTCAGATATACGCATAGGCGTTAAGCAGGAGTTCATGGTACTCACAGCCTAAGGCAATTGACGTTCTATTTGCCAAACGTATAATTATCGCCCATATCTTGAGTATTCATTCATCGTCTCTTTTTGTGGATTTGDATCTSTAWGAGCCTAAAGATTTACTTGTCTGTAATCACCAATCCTATATGAATATGGCAATATTTCTTCATGTTTTGCCCTTAGAAGCATTAACAGCAATACTGTCAATTTTCTTCGAATTGACCTGCTGTTTCTTGAAGCCATAAATCTTAATGTTAATTCTTTTCTCCAGTTCTCAATTCCAATGGTGTTTGCTTTGGTTATTCAAGTTATCTCCAATTGGATCAAGCTCTAAAGTTGAATTCCTACTCAACTTRTGGTTCAATGAAAGATTCTTTGTCATAAGACTGGTTGCACTGTTTTGTCAAGAAATTCACACATTTATCTATCCCTTAGTTGGATGAATTTGCTACTTTTGGGGTTGAGTGGCTATTCTGTGCTTCAAAGTATGTGCTGGGTTGTAGGCAGATTAAAGCTGCATTTTGTGCAATCAGTGGTGCTGCATTCACATTGAATCTGATTTGGTCTAAAAGTTGAAAATGAAGAACAAAGAGCTACATTCAGGGGGAAGCTTGAAAATTCCATCCATACCAAGCACACTAAAGCTTTACTCAAGAAAGCAGAGGGGAGAAGACCTGAAGACTTCATGAAGATGCTTGCTTCATAAAACTTTGGGGGAGATTGTTGGAATCAATTAATCCTAATTATTCTAAAAAGTTTTATTAAGCAATTGGGGCTAAGGATGGAATATCTGAAGATGTTGCTGTGCTAAAACGACTAAGTCTGGAAGAAGACCAAAGCCCCTATGGATGACCAGAGCCTCTGGT